GTTTGCTGGGTGTGATAATTCGTTACCATGAACACACACAACTCACAGACAGCACTCATGATTAAGGGGATTTACAACAGGTTACCACAAGTCGGTATGAGTAAACAGAAAGGATGTAGTCATTGGAGAGATTGGGAGCCTTATATGTGTGGAGAGATTGGGATCCTTATATGTGTGGAGAGATGTGTGGAGAGATTTGGATCCTTATATGGTACTGAGGCGACTGTAGAAAGCTCTGTAGACACAACACTGTAGAAAGCAAGTGGCCCTCGTGCTGCCTCAAGAAGTTGGGAATAGGGATACGATATGACTGAGCTAATCCTTGACTTGGTATATATCCAGACCTAGAGAAATAAGAGTCATAGCAAGTAAAGAGATATGCACACCATGTTCATCACAGCACTATTTACAGTAGCAAAAAAATGGAAGCAACCTAAGTGCTCATCGGTGGAAAAATGGACAGGTAAATTTTGGTACATACACACAATGGATTTCTTTCTACTATTAACGGATAACAAATCATTAGACAGTTGAATGTCTGCATTCTGAATGGTTAGGGTCTCAACAAGCTAGTGAATTCAAGACGATGATACTGAGAGGGGAAGAAGATTTGTGTTTAGAAGTTTGCTGAGTGCCACATTGTGGAAATGGGAGGCGAACAGAAGAGTGGGTCAAATCTGCATGGTTGGTTTGGGTGGCAGACGATCAAGGCCCTGGGTTCATTGACACAGATGCCATTAAGAGGAAAGGCATCTCTCTTACTCCCCACCCTCCATTGCCCGATCACAATAATCGACATCTGGACAGCAGAAAAGTGGGTGAAAGGAGACAGCAGTCGGTGTAAGACATGAAAAAAAATTTTTTAATAAATGATCAAGAATACATGGGGGAGGCAGGGTGGGGAGGCAGGGAAAAAATTGTGGAGCTGATACCAAGAACTCAAGCAGAAAGAAAATGCTTTGTAAAAGATGATGACAACGTATGTACAAATGTGTTTGACACAATGGATATATTTATGGATTGTGATGAGAGGTGTAAGAGCCCTCAGTAAAATAAAATTTTCAAAAAATAAGAAAGGAAACAAACAAATAAAAAATGGTAAAGGTATCACTTGGGGAGAGGACACACAGATGGGGTATTTGGACATTCCCAAGAAATACATCTTTGCTGCCATGAAGAAGAGGGAGTAAGGAGAGGCTTGACAGCTTATCTCAAGAAAGCTATGAGTGAGTAATAATTGACTATTGCTTTATTTATTAAAAAATAGGAATATCCTGCGACTTTTCCCCCCTACATGTACCACATTTAAAGTGATCTTCTACACCAGAAGCCAGATCCTGACTGATTGGTGAAATATCTTGGTTGAAGAGTTCTAGATTAAATGAAAGATGGGCTGTGGTTAAATGATGGATCAAACTGTAAATTCTTGATGGAAATGTCTGCTCAGTAAGTGTCAGCACTGCTTTTCCTAAGGTGTGACTGGTCTTAGGCTAAGTTGAATGAGTGATGTTGAATTTTGCACCAAGATGGTGAATTCCATTTCAAAACCTATGGATTGATTTTACATTTAGATTTATGTAAGTGATTATATGAATGTATTTGAATACTGGGTAGTCTCTTTGCTGTCTTGTGAAACAGAACAATATTCTCCTATTTCAATTTGTATTCATAAGCCGTTTAAATGCAGAAGTTGAAGATACTGTAGCAATGACCACTTTATCATCTTGTTCATAACTCTGTTAATCTAATGAAAATTTCCGGTCTCTAAAATCCTGCCTTTTGGTTAACAAAAAGCATTTTTATGTGATTTGTACATGATATTAAATAAAGAATATTTTACACTTTTCAAATTTTATAGATGATATCTAAGGTTAGATGGTTTTAAAAGATAGATGAGATATAGTAACAAGTTGACTTTTGTATTTAAATTCTTCACTAAGGCTAAAATTGTAATTCAGGATTTGGCTTTCAAATAGCTATTAAAAACACATAAACTGTTGAACTATTATATATTGGGCGTATATGTGATCAGTACTTTTAGCAGCTCATATAGAAAGATGAGGAGATATTATTGGCACAAATTTGTAAGTAATGTGATCATAAGACTTAAGATAATTAAAAATAAGAGATTAAAAACAAGAGTAACAATGAATCTATGACACAACTCATAACATGATTGAACCTGGATAATCTTATGCTGAATGGAATTAGTCAATCACAAAAGGACAGGTATTGTATAAGACCACTCTGATGATCAGTCAAGGAAAGGGTTTCAGAATAAGTGGTACAGGCCTTGATGGCTCCCAGAGGTGAAAAAAGAAAAGAGGGAAGGAAAGTCACTGGGTAGGGGGTATCTAAGTGCTAATTTGAGAGAATGGGGAGGTAATATACAGTAAGAGGGCAGAGAAAAAATAGTGGAAGCATGGAAAGACATTTGGAAGTTTGCAAGGACTAAAGGCAGCAGAGGCAAGTATGGTACGTACAATAGTGCTGATCTACAGGTAGGTGCTCGGAAAGACATGCAGGTTGAACAATTTTGAAAGGGAGAGTGGACACATTCTCTCTCTCTCTCTCTCTCTCTCTATATATATATATATATATATAAACAAATACCCTCTGTCATCTAAAGCTGTCATATATATATGTATGACAGTACTTGTTTATGTGTGGGGTCACTATGCATTTGAATTGACTTCATGGTAGTGAGTTTGGCTTGTGTTTTAATTTTAACTTTGCTGCAAATATATATAGATTATCCATGAGTGTGGTGGAGCACAGAGGGGCCAAAGTTATGAAAACTTTTTAGACATAATCAAACACTTTTAGGGATGAGAAGATGGGCTTGGGGGGATGAGAACTATAGTCTCTAGAGACATCAAGATCAATTGGGATAACATTTCACAAAGACAGAAGTCAACATTCTACTCTGGTAAATAACTATTAGGGTTTAAAAGCCTGTCAGCAGCCATCTAAGGTGAAACTATTGCTCTCTCCTTACCTGGAGAGAAGAATGATTAATATCAAAAGGTAAATGGAAACAATTAGTCCAGTGGACTAATGAACCATGTAGACATCCATTTTCACAACTTTGAAACAGAAAACTAGAGGGTGCCTGGCTACCACTGCCAACTGCGCTGAAAAGGATCATGTTGGAGGGTCCTGGATAGAGCGGGAGAAAATGTGGAAGAAAACAAAAATTCTTAAAAGAGACAAGGCTTACTGGTGGAAGCCTCAGGACTAGGGCCCTTTATTAGCCTTCAGGAAATGAATTCACCCTAGTGTTAGAATTATTATTCATTTAAAATGAAAAGGCAACATTTACCAAAGACAAAATACTGAGGGTAAGGAAAGAATGAAATATAGGGAGGAAGATGGATTTGTGATGGCATATCAAGGGATTGCATTGAATGAATTAAAACAAAATGTGTATGAATTGTTGAATGTAAAACTGATGTTCTCCTTTGTAAACTAATTCATAATATTTATTTTTCAAAAGGAAGAAATAAGCAAACTTACTGCCATCAAGTGAATTCTGACTCATGATGATCGTAGAGTACAGAGTAGAACCACCACAGATAGTTTCCCGGCCTGTAAATCTCTACGTGTTTCTCACCTGGAGTGACTGCTGGGTTTGAACCACTCAGTTTTGGGTTAGCAGCTGAGCACTTTAACTACTGTGCCACCAAAGCTCCTCCCGAAGAAGTCAATCTGCCTTGTAGGAATTAGTAGATTTCAACCTCCAATCTGTGGTTAGCAGTGCCACTCCTGGGCCGCAGCATCACCTTGGCGCCCAAGGAGGACTCCTTTCTCCACAACATTCTTATTTTTCAATGGATTAGAACCGCCCAATAAAATCAGTAGTCTCCTCTCACTTCCCTCTTCCTGTCTCTTCTACAGGAGAGAGTGAGAAAAATAAAAAAATATTCTTACTTCTTTGTAGGTATTTCAAAAGCCTCACATCTTACAGATTTCAATCATATTGATGATAATCACTATGTCATTTGGTCGTCATATTTTGGATCATTAAACTAAGGGCATGTATGCTATGCTACTCTTGTTTTTTTCATGAAATTATTGCACGTAGAGAGTTAAAATGTCATCATCATGCTTTGAGGAGGTTTATTTTATTATATACCACACCTCTGTTTGGAATCTCAGGACACTATTAAGTGAGCAAAAATTTTGTTAGTGATCCAGATTCAGGGAAATCTCCAAAATAAGTTTTATTAAAATATAACTGTAACTAGAATAAGAGTTAAAGTCTCCAAATAAAACAGGTTTTAATGTCATGTTTAGGCCACTTAAAACTTCTCTGTTCTACCTACTGGTCTTCCTTTTTTATTTTTGTAAATTTAATCATATTAAAACTTTAGCTTCTCAGGCAGTTTGAAGGCTTTTAAAAAGTGTGTGTGTGTGTGTGTGTGTGTGTGTTGCCATCATGGTTTTGTTTTGCTTTTTCCTTTTTTTGTGAGCCGTATCTCAGTTGGAAAGCCACATTTGGGTACTAACATCTGGGTATCCTGTCACCAATAGAATTGAGCAATTTCTTTTTGTTTTTCTAACTTTTGTAGCTCTGGCCAGCTTCACACGAGCTTCTATCAGTTGAAATGGCATCTTTAACTTCAGCCAAGTAAGTGTAGGTTATTCAGTTATGAGTGCCAAAAAAGATGAGTCGCCTGCACACTTTATCCAGAGTGAATAAAAGCCAAATTGTAAAATAATTATAATCTCTTGAAGCCGAGCCAGCCGTGCAGTCTGAGCCCATCTTTCTTCATTAATTTGTATACAGTTCTTATTTTAACAGAACAAACTTTCCGAGGGTACTCACATGGGACTGCTGAACCAGCTGTACAACTTTTATTTTGAAGAAAACGAGTTGAGCCTCTGCACAGCCTGTTTTAAGACAAGGGAGGGACTTAGCCTTTCGGAGCTTGACCAGCATGTGGAAGGAGGGCTCTCCAGGCTGCAATCACTTAGGCAGCTCCTACCTGGGTGACATTGCTGGTAGGAAGTGTTCTGTTTGTTTTGTTCTGTTCCTGAGGGTCCCGTGCACTTCTCTTGACGGGATCAACGTGACTCTTGGTGGATTTTGCACACCCTGCTCGGTGGGGGAGTGCCCCAACGTGCCTGTCTTATGTGGCCTCTATGGACACACTGCTCAGCTGGCAGCAAGCAGGGAAGTGTTCGCCCAGCACCCAAAAAAGACAAAGAGGAAACTGCTTTTCCTTTCTGGGCTCCTTGCAGCACAATCCATCAGGATAAGCTTCCACGTTCCCTCCTTGGATTTTTCTGGAGTGGTTTCCAGGAAGAAGTTAAACTTTGACCTTTAAATGGATGACCATGTCACAATCAGGAAGAAGCATCTCCAAAGGCCCATCTTTAGGTAAGTACTGCCACGTCCCAGGTGCCTCCAGGACTTTCAGGACAAGAGTTACTCTCCTGCTTGCTGAACTTGGGAATTCTGGCACTAAGCTACAGCCTAGCAATAAAGATACTGTCTAAAGTTTAACTTCGCGGGAAAGGAGTCTTTTTCTTCTCTCTTTGCTGAAACTCTATGCACGAACTCTGTGCACCAGCTCTTTTCAGCTCCTCCAAATGCATCTTTAAAACATCTCAGTTATCTAAGCACATGGGTGACATAACAATGGAAAAACTGTGGAAGCATTATGCAATCCCTGCTGTTTTCTGTGGCTGCGTAGCCTCTCAGTGGGAAGCATTATCTGAATTCTTTGAACTCACACTCAGGAGGCAGTGGTTAGTGCTGTGAGTGCTACACTTTTCTAGAGCAATCTGTGGGGAGAGAAGTTCAGACTTGATAGCTCCTCTTCCAGAGTGAACCTTGTGCCCCTAAATTAGCACTATCAAAATTGCAGTCAAGGAAACAAGAGGGCAAGAGAAGGCATTTCCACAGTGGTAGAATCGGTGGATTGCTGCAGTGGTGGAAGTTTAAGCTAAGCCAAATGCAGATTCAATATAATGAATTGAACTAAGGCTTTGTTTTGGCAGGAGGGTGCTCTTGATCTTAGGGACTATCCATTTCTGTATTGACTCTAGCTGCTGCTTCTTGAACGCGACCCCTGGTGTATTTTATAATTCTTAACTCCAAATTCCAATGTGGAACACACACAAGTTATGCATAAGACTTTAAAAATAACACTTAAAAAAAGTAAAGTGTAGCTCAATTTTGTGTTTCTCAGAAAATAATATTTTCAGCGTGGTTTCACTACTATGGAAACAAAACTGAATATTATAGCCAAGTTGCAACTACTGATTGTTGATCTAGAATTAAATACAGGATAGTAGAAATTTATGGATGGAATTCCTGAAAATCTGTGCCTGTTGCATAATAAAAGTGGATCTCAAGTAGTGTTATTTTGTAAAATGTGCCCTTTTTAATGTATGGACAAAACATAATACTTATAGTATTACTTATTATATTTTGCATGAATAAAATGGTCTATCAAATCTGCTTTAAAGCTTTCCCTAGAAGATATATTTAAATCAATACACTGTAGTATAGAAAGCCTCCAGCTCTCTATCTCTGGGCTCAGGTATAGAAACAATTGTGAGGATGGCCCTGGACCGTGCAGTTTCTGTTCCATTGTGCCAAGAGTGGCTAGAAGTTGGAGCTGACTAGATGGTCCCAAACAGCAGCATATCAACCCACACATGTATCTGTAAGATCTTTAAAGCGATTAAGAGCTCCAGTAGCACAGGCTAAGGCTGGCAGTGAAAACCCATCTGCCAGCTTCTCCGTAGGAGAAAGATATCTCAAGCATTAGAAATACTATGGGGCAGTTCTGCTCTGACCTGTGAAGTCCCTTTTGAGTCGTAATCGACAAATGACAATGGGTTTGTACAGTGATTGGCAGTAAACAACCAAAACACCCTTCATGCGCCCCCAAATGTGGATGAGAAACTTGCTGCATTTCCTGAAGAAGTCTCTTAACCCTATTTAGTTCATCTTTATTTTCTCCCAATTTTGTATGTGACTTTAGAAAGGCGTGGCAGTTGGAGAAAAGGCACAAAAGCTAACCCCATCGTGGCACCATTGTGACACCGATAGCAGTTTGAGTAGGCAGCATCATGTGGGACAGTCAGATCCCATTCGCCACCCTCTACGGTATCTTGCCCATGGAAGAGCCACTGGGATTGAATCAGGTGGTCCTTAACTACTCGTCTCTACCAAGGTCTTGTCCCCCACGGATGGAAGATATGCTTAGATGCTACTTAGTAACACATGAGTTGCGACTCACTTCTATTTTTTTAAAAAATAAAGAGCAGATCCTTTGTGGGAGCTTAGACCCCCCCCTTTCCAGACAATTAGAACAAAACAGTAAATCAAGCAATTTCTTCATGATCCTGGTAACCTAGAAGTAGGCACGTACTAAATAAAGGAGTCGTATGATGATTGTGACGAGGAAAGGAAGGCGGAGAGTGTCTTAAAGGATTAAAATGATTAGGCATAATTATGGGGATATAGTTTTTGGCTAATCTTAAATAAATTAACACATGGACTTCCTGAAATTTAGTTTTGCTTTAGGCAAAGTTGGGGAGCGTTTTCTACAGGAATTTGTGCCCTTTGATTCTTACACAGCTTTAGTTTATGGTCAGTCTCTTTTCCCGGGAACCTTGTCTCCTTGGAGTTTCCTTGGGTTGTACAGTGTCTTGCACTAAGCTCTAGTAGTAAGGCCTGCTCTAGCTGGTCAGAGGCCCAGGCAACAGGCCTACCTATCCTGTTAGCGTGTCCCTCTCTGCGTATCACTGCAAAAAGGCTGCACATACGAGTTCTCCATCCACTTGATAAGCAAGCCTGTGTTAGACTGACCCCCAAGTACTACAGGGTAATTTATAAGCTTAACTAAACACTTGGGAATATGACATCTTTACTGTCTGAAACGAATTTATTTAAGTTTTTAGGCATCAAGATAGTTAAATGCAGGACTTTAAAAAGAATCTGACACCTTGACACCCTTACACATTTTTACATATAAGACTACTTTCTCCTACAATTGAAACTACAGCTACAACTAATTCACTGGGCCTTCTCTGAGAGACCACAAATGTCAATTTACAAGTGCTAAGGCATTTGGAAGCACAGACATAGAGGAAATCAGTCCTGATGTCTGCCCTGACATGCCATATTATTCAGTATATACCTACATCGCACCTGTACAAGGCAGATGATGGGCGCCACAAAGGAGGTAACAACAACCAGGGAGGTTTCAGTGGGAGAGAGAGGTTTCAGTAATGACCTGTTGTGAGGCTTACTGAGGGAGAAGAATGCAAGCTTTTTCTAAAAAAATTAAATAAAAATCTGACATTTCATTAACATTGGTGTTTCATCAACATAGTCTCCCTAAATTTAGTCACATAAACCTAAACCAAACTCACGGCCATGGAGTCGTTTCTGACTCGTAGTGGCCCTTTAGAATAGGGTAGCCCTAATTAGAATAGGGTAGCCCTACTCTGTACCTGCACGGAAAGCTACGTTTTTCTCCCGCAAAGCGACAGGGAGTTTCCAACTGCTGACCTTGAGCTTTAGCACCCCAAAGCGTAACCACCAGGGCACCTGAAGGTTATACCTTGTCTAACGATTTGGGAGTAAATGGCAGACATTGAAATGTTCCCTCGAAGCTTGTTAAATGTATTCACGAAATTGAGAGAGATCTTCTATATTATTTAGATGAAGTCTCTAAACGGTGGTGGCCTAGATGGAGACACATTGGGCTGTTAACCACAAGATCAGCAATTTGAATCCACCAAAGTCTCGTGGGAGAGAGGTGAGGCTTTCTCCTTCCACAAAGATCTAAAGCCTCCCCAATGATTGGGAACAGTTCTACTCTGCCCAAAAGAGGCGTTGTAAATTGGAATCCGACTCAATGTCAGCGGGTATAGCTTTACGAATGCCCCCATCTACTCCAATGGTGATTAAGGTGATCAAGTCTATTTGAAAATAATCATCCTTTTAAATTTTAGATATGTATTTCTATGGCAGGTCTGTGAGGCAGGGAACAAAGGGAATACTTTTTATGGTAAGTGGGAGTTTATATTAGTCATTTTGTGCATGTTGTATTGAACTTTGAGATCAGTGAGGATGTGCAGCCTGAATAGAGAGAGCTCAATATCACATATAGATGCTGTCCTGAACCACTTCAAGTCTGCCTGCTGACGCCCTCGCAGGCAGCTCCTGCTTGTTTAGAGGTGCGATGCGCCTTCCGTCCAGGTGTCATCATTTTTGAAGAACAAAAACACTATCACAAACATTTTATTTCTCATATTTTCCAATCCACAATACTCAGCTTTGTTTCCTAGTATTTATAAAAGAACTCAAAGTGAAATTGCACTTTAAAAAATGTGACTCAATGCTTGATTTCGAAGACTTTCTATCTGTGCATTCCTTTACGCTTTTAAACACCGTGTCTGTCCTTATAACCAGTGTTTCATACCTGCATCAAAATAGTCTCTTTATATCAATGCGTTTATCAATTTTTACTTTAATATCATGCTTGTGCCTTTTATCCAGTCATAATATAATGCATTAAAAATCATTTCCATAAAGCAGTTGCTGAAGATTGTTTTATCTTCTTACGCACACTGCTTAGATAATTGTTCTGTGTTCTTGTGTCAAAAAGCAACGTTAGATCTTAACAACAAGGAAAATTGATTCTTCTAATTGCACCAGCGGACATACTTCTTAACTGCATGTCAATGCCTTCAAGGGTTTAAGTCTTTTTTTTTGTTATAATCCCCTCCTACTGGATATGATATCTGATTTTATCAAGTTCAATTTTATATGCATCTTTTTCCTATTGCTTTATATTCTATGTAAAAGCAGATAGGGAAAAAAATGCTATATAAATAATTGAGTAAATTAAAAAAATTCTTAAATCTTAAACCTTGTTTAGCATTCTTTGGATCAGGCGACTTTTGAACCCTTCTTGGGGTTCAAATGTGGGCTTTTTGCACTTGTTTTCCGTCGGAAATGACTGAGGCCCATGAAGAATCATCAACTATAGAACTGAGTGTTGGTCTAGGCAGCCAGGTTCTGAGACAATATAATCCAAGTCGGATGGTCGGCAGGGCTCCAAACTAATGAAAACCATGTTGGTATCATCCCAGGATTTAGAACTCCCTGTTTGTTCTCTTTATGTCTGTGCAAAAGTATTGTTTTTGTAAGTGTCTGCTCGTGGGGGGATTCTGAGTGGTTTCTGGCAAGCATATTCTATGCCCATAGAGATGGAGAAAACAAGAGGGTGAAATCAAACTGCCTCGGAAAAGAAAACAAATGCTCTTTTTGTTTGTGGACCTAATGGAGATGCATGGTTGACAAACTATTGCTCTCTTTGACTTCAAGGTTTGTAGTCTATGCATTATAGAGGC